TTAGTAAATTTATCGATTAGGAATAAATTATCACTGGCGTGAATTATCGCTGATCATATGAATATTTTTTCACATTATTGCTATCAGTAAAAAAATAAGTTGATATAACAAAAATACTAAATATTTATAATATTTCAAGAGCTTTGACACTGGGAAAACTTTACGTAACTAAAACCACGAATATTCTAGCGCTGCCTGGCATTTTTCTTAGTATGATCTGATTGGGTCACACGAGTCTGACGTCAGTGATAATTCATTCCTAATCGCTAAGTTTACTAATTTACTAAGTTACTAAACGTTTCCTTTTCAATTTCTCTATGACAATTTTTTTGCAAGTAGGTGTATATCTATGTCTATAGTTGTTCAGCAGTTCCGTTTTTCAATAATATATCGAGGAATTTACATGGGCGCGCGGAGATACGAATTTTATCTTCAAGTGTTCAATTGATATCTCACGAGTGGCCATGTAATGTTCTGTTTTTTTATATAGATATCGATGAAACTTAAATAAAACAAAAGCTCAAAAATTCCTTATTAAAATAGCAAGCCGATTCAGCAGCGATATCTTCACGTGTGAAAGATATGGTATCTTCCACTGGTGAAAGATATCAAGTTTTCGACACTAGAGAGAACCTGATATTTCATCGATATCTATATAATAAATCCAGGATATCCGATCGAGTAACTGCCTAAATGCTTTGGTTTTGCTCTTCCTAAGCTTTCCTTTGCATATCTATTATTTACACGGCCAAGTTAAAAAAAGGTTATTATATAAATACCGAGATTAACTCACTAATTTTTATTCGTCATGGAATGGATGCTACGTTAATATGAACTCAAGTACGCTCTCATACGAATGCTAACTAATCAACTACAAAATCTGGATATTTTTGGTTTTTCCTTAATCAATTTTCATTCGGTTTTCATTCGGTTGAAAAAACACGACATGTTGACATCCATCGTAAGACCGCTGCCTGCTACCTTGTAAATCCCCAGTAACTGTGTTTACAGCGTCCAAGATAACAGAAGAGTAATCATCCTTGCTGTACTGATGGCCATCCTCACAACGATGCAGAAGCCTTTTCATGTCGATGCTTTCTGATATTGATTCCTGTGTTGGTTTACCTCCATCGACTGCAATCTCCACCGCTTGTCTGATGGCAAACTTCAGTCTGTCAAGAATCTTGTCATGTGACTTTGGATGCATCTCTTTAAGTCCACCATCATCTTGTAGATGAAGCACAACTTTGTCGATCTCGTCATGTATCAATTTGTTTCTGTTTGGTGGCTAAGGAAGACAAAATTGTGAAGAACAAAATGTCATGATACGCGGGGAGGTGTTTACGAGTCTTCTTAGCCAGAGACTAATATTTAAGTGTACGACGCACTCCACACTTTGATGAGGGAGGAAAACTGAAGAACCCGGAGAAAATCCCTCGTGGCAAGGGCGAGAATAAGAAATGCAACACACTATATTCTGATGTGACGCCCGCACATGATCCCACCCGTAAGACTCACAGTAGGGAAAGGCCAACGTTTTTACCACTACGCCACCTTCGCATCTAATATGTATATAATATATATTTATTTTGTTTATATGTATATTATATATGTTTAAAAGCTAGTGAGTGCAGCGTACATGCATGGGACTATACGAGTTCTCCTCTGGTATCGTAATCAAAAACTTACCTTGATGTTGCGAATTTGCATTCTTTTGGCCTTTTCTTCAGTCAGGATGATTAGTTCTTTCATGTAATCATTAGACTGTAGTGTATGAAGTCTATGTATACAGATGTCAGGGTCGTAATCATAGCTGTCTTCTGAGGTGGGGATTAAATGACAGCTACTGAGAAGACTGAAATTGCGTTCAGGACGCGATGTCTCTGCAGAATGGAAGAATACAAATCAATTGATAATGAGAACCTTTTAAGTTGGACTTTGAGATCCTAAGGCTTTTACTTGATATTTCACTCTCGATAGAATGATGTTTATACTATCTATACTAGAGTATGCATACATAAACGAAAGATACGGTCTCCAGTATCAAATTGGCCTTAGAGATATCAAACGAAAATAATGAAAAGCGCTTAGAAGTATGAAATCTCTGCAAACTGGATTCAGATCGTATAGGCTGAAATATATAATAATGATAGTAATAAAATGCTTCTACTCGCCAGGAGTAACAAACTGTTTGATCCAATAAAATGCAGGGCTGACATTAGTTATGAATATCTTGGGCACCAAGCGTTTGTCCAGAAGCATCTTGTAAAATGCTGCCCACATCTGCTCTGTGTCGTGCGGATGAATGCTGCGGTACGCACCAAACACCACCATTCCAGCTGGATAGAGCTTTACTTCAACGTTTTCCATTTCAGTACGGGTACCACCGTGGTCTTCTTTGTACAGAGTTAGGATTCTGTTATCTACAGCAATACCACAAATCACGGGTTTCTCGGAATGAAACCCATTCGGAGCGTAACACCCTGAAAAATTAAGCATTTTAAACTAAGAAAGTACCAGAGCAGTGATCAAGTGAATCTTAACCTTGATCTGCACCGAATTAGAGTTCAGGGAAATATCTTATGAGTAATCTGTAAGACTCAGCAATCAGGCCTACGGCCTTATCCCTTCATTGGTTTTACTAATTCGAATTTAGTATTGTTAAACGATTCTCATGACTCAGTGCATGTTTAGACTGAATTTATCAATTATACTTATTACCAGGTATTTTCTCCGAGCACATTTTGATAGTTTCCAAAAGTCGATTTTCCCAAACGATTGTGGCCTTTGTTAGCTTCAGTTGCCCAGGTTTTCCATTGGTCTTTTCTACCTAAGAGCAAAAAGACGAAAAAATATTACAGTTATATAATTAGTTTCTAAATGCATTGTTGATACATAAGATATAGCAAAAAGTATAGTACCATACCTCTTCTGCTTGCCTTCTAATCTTTGCTCGCATAGCCTTTTCTCTTCTTATTAACTCTCTACTTCTGTAGGTGCTCCAGTTGTCTTCCGGCAAAAGACGTGCGAATTTTTTAGCGGCTTCTAATTGCGCCTCCATCTCTTCCAGTGAGTCCGAATACCTGAACATCTCAGCTGTTTTAGCTCTTCTCCCATTGACTTCTACTTCATGGGTATTATTCTCAGACAAAATGATTCTCCACTCTCCCCAAAGCTGCCTCATCAATCGTACCAATCGATTTTTTTCTACTGATTCAGTAGTAGGGACGTAAGCTGACATCTGAATAGAAGACGAACGCCACAAATTCTCTTTATGTGCTGTACTTTTGTTATATCCCGAGGCTTCAAGCAAATAAATACATGCTTGGTTTTGGTCCAAGCTAAGTACCTTTTCATGTAGGATGCTTTGCACTAAGTGGTATTGTTGAGAAGGACTAAGATTTTCGTCGCAGGATTTCTGGATATTACTAAGAACCATATTGATTTGATCAAATGTGTTTGGTCTTTTTACAACACTCCTTGCAAGACGACGAAGGAGCAGTACGAGGCTTTTGGACAATGGTTCTAGCTTCATTAGCTGGGTCATGGATTTTTTGTCTTTCGTTTCACTAAAGAGCAGGACAAATAGCTCGTTCAGAAGATTGTCTCGAGATTTGTAGATTTTACCAGTCGGGGCATTTTCATCTTCAAAAATCCTACACAACTCTTGCGTGCCATCTTTTATTTTCTGAACAACGTCTTCGTTGTCTTTAAGTTGATGTGCAATTAAAAAATACTCATTTACAAGTCTTGCTAGGAGCAAACAACGCTTGAAATATTCCGTATTTTTCTGGTCTATTAAAGCGTCTTTGGTTTTCCAGGTCTGTGGGGCGTCTTTTGAAAATAGACTCTTTCCAATGTAATCTGTTTCCTTTGTGATGAACTTGATCGTTTCTGGCGTCAGATTTGTAAGAGCATCGACCTCACCGGAACTAAGGTTTTTCGAGAAAACAAGACTCGTGCACCATGAATGTATGACTTGTGAGGGGTATCCGGCATCTGTCATCTGTTTGTACCAAACTGGAAGTCGTCTCAGACTCATATCATCTGAAATCCCGCCGTTCTTCTCATCTGTAGCCTTGAGAAAATCCATGAGTTCCATGGCAGAATTTTGAAGGACTGTTTTAGCAAATGGTAAGATTTCTAATACGATTGCCAAATCTTTATCAATTTCTTCTTGCTTAGTCTCTTGTTCTCCCTGATAGAGAATTTCGATCTGTTCTACAAGAAGATGACTTTCGCTTTTACTCCATGATGGTAATACTTCTACACAGGCAGCGGTTGAACGTGCACTAAGGCAAAGTAGATTGAATAGCCTACCGACAATTTGTACGTCTTCAATTTTCTTGATGACATTTACCATTATGTCAAGTTTGCTCGCTAAATCGTTATTTCTCGCGGCATTTACCGCCGATGACACTGGCCGGTTTAGCAGTTTTGAAAGCGTTGCAGAGGCCTTTTCATTCATTTGCGTAGCCTCTTGAAAAGTACGTCTTCCTGCTTTCCAAGAGCAAGCCGCCATGATGACATTTTTACACTGCAAAGCATGCTCAGCACTAAACTCATCTAACCAATGTCGAACCTCAGCTAACGTCGTTGATTCATCCATGATCCGAATGAATAATTCAAAATACTCTTCAAACTTATTTGCTAATTGCTGATTGGTACAAATTCTTGGGTCGTCATGGTTGTAATTTTTGACAAGTTTGCAGCAAATTTTGTTTAGTTCAGTCTTCATTTCAGCTACACCAAGTCTTCTCAGCTGACGTAGGATTAAATAGGCGAGTTTGCCTGGAGTAAGAAGCTTCGTTTGGTCGTATCTTAAGGGCCATTCGTTATCATCTTTGAGGGATACCTTGTCTTTGTGCAAAAAGACACTGAGGACCTCCATTATGTGACAGTTTTTATAAAGGAGAAGAGCCAAACACACATCACTTGATCTGAGGCAAGTGTGGTTTAGAAGCATATTGAGGTCATGTCCAAGAAGCTCTAGGATTTGATTGCCTGAATCCTTTTCATGTGGTGTCACGGACAACGTAATAGATGGATTTAAATTGCTGGCGACATCAAGAATTCTGTAAAGCTTTGGGATAATCTCTTTTAAAGACCTTTTGCCTTTAAGCACTGAAACTAGGTGTTTAGGAATACTTAGGGGAATCAAGTTTCCATACATTCTTCTCATGTCAAACATATTCCAATTTAAACTCAACAGCACTTCGATGAAGTCATAGACGTCTAGCTTTTCGTCCATCTCCAATGCATAAAATTCCAGTATACATTCTACCAACACCTTAACCTGCTCGGGGGGGATGTAAGGAATCTTTTGAGCTATTTCCTTTATTTTAGCTTTGAAGGCCTCCACTGAAACTGCTTCCTTTATAGCTTTATCTATCAAAGGCAAAGACACCTGCAGAGAGGCTGGGGGCTCCTTGAAAAACTCTTCATTCACAAATACAAACAAATCAACTGAACTTCCGTCTTCAAAGGCTGTGGGTATTTTCGTCATAAAAAGTTCCATTAAAGAGTTTGATCCAATTTCACTCTTTCCGATTCTTCTGTGGATGCTGAGTTGGGAGAGTCTTGAAGCCATCAAAAGGCTGTGGGATTTCGAGGTCAGCCTGTTAAAATGTGATGCCAAAACGTTTGGGTCTGTGAAAGAACATTTACTTCTAGGCAGTTTGAACAGATGAAACATTATGTTAGTCACCTCTTCTTCCTTAGAAAACCTGCCTTCTTCGAGGATATTGGCCATGCTATGAATCAAGAGCTTTAGTTGAAGGAAAGGTAGTGGGAGCTTAATGATGAGATCAATCCCTTCCGCAAAACTCTTGGTACATGACCCATTATGTCCAAGACAACTGACTTTACGAATTCCTTGAATTAGCACGATGTAAAGGGATAGAACGTCATTTGGTGCACTCAGCTGATGTGTGCGCACTGCCGCGTGTAGAAGTCTTAAAACTTCATTATTAGATTCTTGGTTGAATGAACCAACAGCTAGAGATCCGGCTATGCATGTCATTATTACTTCAAAAATCTCAACAGATGGGTAGTACAGCCATTGAATGTTGCTTTTCACAGTCATAAAGAGTAAATCACGGTGTTCCATTTTGGAATTAAGGATTGCGTTCAGCAGAAATTCGAAATGTACATTAAAATTGTTGTCGCGGTCTAAAGTGCTTTCGTTGATTGACAAATAATACAAGATAGAGTTGTATATAGTACGTTCGAGGGCTGCCTGTTGTAAAAATCGTTTGGCATTGGCAGAGTCAACTGGAAAACGAAAAAAGCCAGCACAAGCAGACATCTTCTCCTCGATGTCACCTTTCCCTTTCGCATCTTCTAAGACTTTCAAAAAGCAAAGTAAAATTTCTCCTTTATCCTCGATACTGCTTGAAGTATGGATTAATCGAACAACATTCCAAACTTGCGAGTAGTGTACTTCAACTTGACAAACAGCTTTGAGAAGATCTGAGACGTACTTCCTGATTTTCCCACTGCTCAAGTCTGATGCAACGAACATAATCACATTGAGCATTAATTCATAATGTCGTTTTTGAGTTGTATAATCGAACAAGTCCAAGCCTATTTTTATGGCTTTTCTTTTAACTTGTTCTGAAACTTGCATGGCTGCTAATGACTTTACAAAGTTCTTGATTGATTGTACTTTGAAAGTAATAACATCTCTGGGATCCGTGCTTTCTCTGAATTTATTAAGAATGCAATTGATAAGGTTACATTCCTGGGTAAACCAAGTAGTTGGTAGTGCCGTTATTAAGCCTTCTACGATTAATGGCCAACTGGGAAAGGCATCTAGGTGTTCTGTAGAAAGTTGAGTTAAAAATGCTTTGAGCTTGCGCATACCGTTATGAGTACCTTGTTGTTTTAGGCATTCCACAAGGTATATAATTGCAAATAACATGGTATGTGAGTTATCATTGGGGAAACGATCTCTCCACATTCGGAGGACATCCACTAACTGTTCCCGATCGCCTGGAAGGTCTATCAGAGCCTTAAACACCACGCTACAAATTATTCCCTGCTGATTCCTGGCTTGAGAAGCTGAGGTTAGTTGCCTGGAATTACCCGCGCCTAAAAACTCATCAAGCCTCATGAGATTACCCGATAGTAAAGATTGCTGAAAAACTTTAAGTTTTAGTTCGAGTTTTTCTGATTCGGTGTTCGAGATGACAGGAAGCAGGGTGTCGTCCCTTTTGATTTGCAGTAGCTCCAACACTTCTTGTATTTGGTCAATTCTAACTTCTGATTGCAGGAGTTCAAAGCAAAGGCTTGGGTAACGCAGCAAAACCTCTGAATGCTCGGGAAGAAACGTTAACCGAAGTCTTGCTTCATCACATGTAAGCTTAAAATCCTGATTGTTGTTGATGGAATTGTTCAACGCATTACAAACTGAACAGATGAGAGATTCGTCGTAAGTCCTTTCGTCGCTGAAGGGCTGTTTTCGAGCAAAGGTTTCATTATGCACTAGAAAGTCATGTTTTGCTATTGCTACCCCAAACCAGTTGCTGAGAAATGACATATTCAGTATTGAAATCCAATTTTTTAGCAGTAAGGAATCTTTTTTCGTGTGAATTTTGGACAACATCTTAGGGTCGAGTAGCTCGTCCGCTTGGATTATAAAAATGGCTTGATCTAGGAGTTCATCAAAAGTGTCAAAATGGATCCTGGGTTTGAGAGCTTGAAAAAGACTCTTAAAAGGATCGCGCATTTCAATGCGTCCATCTTGATTTATAAGAAGAATTACAAGTCTAGCATTTCTTAGTAGTTCGTATATTTTCCTAACTTTGGACAGGTAGCTGGACAATGTTATGGATTGATTGATGTGATATATGCCTTCTTTTGGTGTCATCAGTTCATCACAGAGCTCTATAGTCCAGTCAATGATATCCAAAGGACTTGCTAATTGACAACCATCTTTACATCCATTCTGCATTAAAGCCTCTGATTGAGAACAACATAGAACAACAAGTTTAATAGCTTCCTCCTCAAATTGTTTACTATCAGGGTACGCCCTACTTAGCTTTGACAGTCCTTCGCAAATTCTCTTGACCACAGTCGTTCCACTAAGCCTCTGTAGGTTGTTGATGACATGCAACTTCCCGTCCTCAGAATGGAAATTGCAATGCAGGAGTGTGTCACTTACGGTATGTACCACATTTGCATCTTGGAACCCACAGCTTTTAAAAAGATCTTCTATTGCATCTTTTATTTCTCTTGATCCGGATCGAGTAAGTGAATCGGTATTTGTGTCCATTGTTGCTAAAAATATAGACTAGGAGAATAAGTGGAAAATAATGGACGTATCTCGAATTCGCTCGAGTGACCAAGAAACAAGCTTCAAGTTGAATTTGGATTTGATAAATACAGCAAAAATATAAGCACATCAAGTTCAACCTCCACTTGAAACAATTGTTTCTTGGTCACTCAATTTTGGAAAATGACGAGGATGAGGTTGAGGTTGAGGATGAGGGATGAGGGATGAGGGATGAGGGATGAGGGATGAGGGATGAGGGATGAGGATAA